TTTGGCAATGATCTGTCCCTTCTAAGCCTGTGGTGTTTAGCTCAGCTATGAAAAGTGTTTATGGTGCCGCCCCCTCCATCTTAATGATCAATTATACTTTTTGTTTAACCACCGCATTCACTAGAATTGGGATTTTGCTGTTTTTTGGGGGTTTTTTAAATGAAAGTAAAATCTCTCCTATGAAGAGCTAAAATTGTGCAAAACAAAGTGTCTCAGCAGTAATTCTCAACTGTTCTCAGAATGCAATTTAACCGTAGTTTCTCACCATCTCACTTTCAACAAGATCTGCTTCTACTTAACGCGAAAGCTCTCAAATACTAAAACTGTACAGCGCTAGTCCTGATTTAAGATTTGTTCTTAATCCCCTACAGCAGAGTAGATAAATATCAATATTCTTTGTTAGTTGACACTATATTTTTGTGCTCCACACTCAATAGGTAAGTTTCCAGACTGAGCAGAGTATGTTGCAAACAGGCTGAAAGATACAATACATCTTCAAGGGAAAAATTCACATTAATTTGCTGTCAGCCTTAAATGCATTGATGATGAAGTTTTCAAAAGCACTTTAAGTGATTTAGGGCCCAGATTTTTAAAAGTATTTAGGGATTGCTTCAGTGAGCATTGCAATGCCTAATTTATGAGTCTATGTCTCTTGGAAGTCAATGATACTAAGGGTCCTAAATGCCTATGTTATTTTTGAAAATAAGAGTTCAGCTCCTAATTCAGTTAGGCGTTGCAACACTGAGTGGAGCAATGGCCAAATACCTTTAAAATCTAGACCCTGAAGATGCACAAGTCTTACGGTCTTTGAATGTGACCTAGATGCTTTTGAAAATCCCACTCTTAAGATTTTGAACTCTGCAAACTTTCTTCAGTTATGTGTATTGCCTAGTATTGGGTTCAGGACATTTCTGTTTTTAATTATTTTTTTAAAATGTGAATTACTCTAAAGGTGGAATGTTAATAGCTCATATAGTTACACTGCAGAAATCTTGCAGGACAGACTCTTCACAGTGGAGAAAAAAAAACTACAAAAAATACATACTCAGATAAAGTGTAAGGGCAGGAAAATACATTTAAACTGATCACTAATAAAATAAGGAGCAGTGGTGTTAATGAACAAATTCAACTGAGGATGTAGAAAAGACGTCAATATTGAGGACAAGTCAGATACTTGAATTTATGCCAAACTCAATAGGTGTTTGAGTTAAAATTAAACAGTTTATGAAAGTTATCTATTTTTCTATTGGATGCAATACGTTAAGCTGGATAACTAGGCAGATTATGCTTCGGTCTTAGTCATAGTGACTTTAGAGAAGGTGAAATTTTATGTGTTCATTCACAACAGTAGTGTAGCACTCTGCTCAGGTTTTTACAACCTGATCCAGCAAGGTGCTGAGCACACTCAATTGCCCCAGGAGAACTGAGTATTCTGATATTGAAAGGTGAAGATCCCTGGTTGAATTTGTTACAAGTGAATCAGCCCAAAATTGCTGAAGTTTTTGATGAAAAAACAGAAATCCTTTTTGATCTTTCAGTATGCAATAAAGTCTCACCAGTTTCTTCTCAAGCACATCAGTACAAGTTAGGTAGGGTATATACATGGAAAAGTTTTAGAGTGAGGTGACCTAATATGGGTACTGTTCCTCTAAGAACCAAATTCTGTTCGCACACTCTATGCAACCTGACCGCAATAAGTCTGCACGAGAACACAGAAATGGCCCTTAGGCTATAAAATAGGTCATTTCAGTACAAAAAGAGTAAAAAAAGAACTCAAAACATTCTCAACAGAGTGAAATTAAATAATTTCTCAAGAACATTTTTAGGGATATATTCTCCCTTAGAAGCATGCTTCTGCCACTAATACTAGTGTTAAGGTTATATCTTCCCCTGCAAAAGTGTATTAAGTAATTCTTTCCAGTGCAACATACCAGTCACCAAAACCTACAATGTAATTAATTCAAATGCCCCTTCAGTAACAGTAGCTGTAAAACATTTATTTTGAACTGCCTTTATTTTCAGCACTTTACATGTATAGTTTTATTCTTGATCCAGGATTATCCCCGATTTGAAGTTCATGGTCTCATTTTATATCTGAGGGTTACATATAAATGTGAGTATAACCTTGAATGCCCTTGCAGCTTTGTCTAAATGCCATCAGATTAACAAAAGAAAGAGTCTAACAATTTAAAGATCCACTTCTCTGAAATACAATTTCCCTCCCCTCCCCCAAAATGAAAATATACCCTAATATGCGAGTTCCAGGAAGTTCGACTGAAACTAGTATTTTAAAACTCAAACTGAATCCTAAAAAAATTAAACAAACTTCAGGATAGGTAGAGCTTGCCAAGACTGGTTTGTCTTAACCTTGTTAGGAAATATTTGTAAATTGTTTGGGTGCAAATTTACCAGCTGAGAGGATGTTATTGTTGGGATAGGATGTGAGGGACAGAATCCTGTGCACTGCAGCACCCTGTGTCAGGCAGGGAGTTAGGAAAGTAAAATGTAATCTCAGTGCAGAGAACCAAAGTTGAAATATCAAGTATTCACTTTTCATTCTCAGAAGTTTTTACAAGATAGCCAGAAGAATGTGTGAGTCACATTAGATATGACAAACCAATTTTAAAACATTCCTACATTAGGAATTTTGTAAAGAGAATTTAAGAATTCTGATTAAGCAAACATCTTCAAACCCCTTCCTGTAGCCAAGTGCTTACTCCATTCCTGTGATCACAATCTACAGTACTAGAGTCAAATACAAGGAAGTGGAAATAGCTCTCCTTCCCTTGACTTCATGCATCTCCTACATATGGTATTAGCAGTGCTGTACTATAATCCACATAGAGAAAGATTATCTCCAGCCCAGTCACTAGGTTATTGGGTTAGTATGAATGGAAGCAAAGCCCTTCTCAGGTGAAGACACCTTTCTCCATTATAAACTTGCACCCCAAGTAGTTAAAAGGTCTGTTAAGTTTTATAAAACCTAATATAGAATATAAATTCAAGGCTTAACCTGTTTTGTGTAAGTGTTCTTATGAAAATAGTTTAAATTCTACTTAACATTTATAGTCTTAAGGAATCATATGATAAAAGAAACATTAACCCCTTACGTTAAAATTAGGATAAAAAAAATGAAGATATGACTTGTTTAGGCTGTGTATTTATTCTTTGCATTTCTCTTAACTTGAGCAATGAAAAGAATCAAAGGAGTTACAGTTTTGTATACAGTACTTCAGTTTCATACTATCTGGAATGTTTAATGATTGTTCCCATGAAAGCTTTTAAAAATTCTAGAAACATTGGTTAGCTTTAGGTTTTTAATAAGAGCCTGCTTTTACAAGATGTAGATGTAAGGATAAATTAGGGTTGACATCATCTCTTCAATGTACAATGCTTTCTAATTCCAAAGAACCATGAAGTGCCAGTTACTTACCATTTGTCTTGTCACTATCCAAGACAAATGAAAAACAAGAAAATTGGGATAAGTTATTTTAAAGCCTTTTCAGCTTTAACTTAAGATGCTACTTTTACCAGACCTAAGGAGAATATTAGTTTGCTTTGACTGGGATTTCTCAATTGACAGTGTGCCTTTAACACCAGACATGGTCGAGTCACAAACCCATAAAGGGAAAATCTCAAGAGGAAGGAGTGAAAGCACCAATTCTTGGAACATTTTAGGACTAGGTTTGCTAAAGCCCTGGGGAACAGAGATCTAACTAGATCTGCTCCCATCAGATGTGGGAGGGTACACTATAATGTCTTCCTGCATCCCAACTCCTTTGCTTGTAGTCTAGGGATGTCACATTCCTAACCCAACTGTTGCATTTTTCTGACCAATACAATATTGCAGAATGAGCTTTCACTTTAAAAAAAAAAAAAAAAAAAAGTTTCCAACTCTGTTGCAAAAATAACCTTGCAATGATGGACAGAAGTATTGCTCCTGGCCTGAAACAACAGCATTGTAGGAAGAGTAACTGTCCCTATTAATCTCAACAGTGCACTCACTAACTCTGAAGCTTAACAGTGGCAATTTTAAAGCCAGATGTTCAGGCCTCATTTGAGTGTGTGCAACTAGGTGTGTGACAGTCCCAAGGTCAGTAGTGGGGAGTAAAGTTCAGTGTGGCTGGAGAATAACTTCATAAGCCTGGCCCACTTATCTTAATTAAAATCTAACCCAGTTCTCAACACAGTGAGGGGGTGAAACCATCCTCCAGCCCAATGCACTAAGGATGAAATCCTGGCCCCACTAAAGTCAATGGCTACTCTTTGAGGTGGAGGCATGATTTCCATTTCGGGGAGCCAGACCCACACTAGCTCTGACTGGACTTGGGCGCTAAAAACATAAGTGTAGTCAGGATGGGCGCCAGTAGTGGCAGAAGCTGGCTTCCTAAGTATGAGCAGGTGGGATCTTACTCCAGCAGCTAACCTATCCCACCACTTGCATGGCCACAGCTACACTTTCAGGGTATGTCTACACAGCAAAGAAAAACCCACAGCTGCCCCACTCCAGCTGACTGGGGCTTATGAGGCTGTTTCATTGCTATGTAGACTTCCAAACTCAGGCTCTGGGACCCTCCAACCCCACAGGGTCCTTGAGCCCCAGGCTCCTACCCAAGCCCAGACATCTACACAGCAATGAAACAGCTCCCTACCCCAGAAGTCAGCTGGCACAGGCCAGTGTCTAGTTGCTGTGTAGACCTCATCAGTTTCATCACACTGGTTCAATCAGAGCTAGCAAGGGTGTTTGGCCTCCAGCCAGAAATTACACCTCCATCTCAAAGTGTAGAGATATCCAGTGGCAAAAGTCCCACTGACTTCAACAGAGCCAGACTTTCACCCTCACCCCCTTCCTATCCCTAAAAGGGAGATTCCACCTGTCGCCCTCTCCCTCCGGCTCTCCCCTCTCTCAAGGAAAGGCTGCTGCATTATTGCCCAGGCTCTGCAGGTAGAAAGATGGGGAAGCGTGTTGTTACCTGCATGTCCCGTCCAGGAGGCGGCCGCTACCTGCTGTCCCCCTCCCGGGCTCCGCCGCCGGGCTCGGCACTGGGCTGGTAGGACAAGAGGCTCATGGCTTCGCCGCAAGCGGCCTCCACCTGGCGCACCTGCTCCTGGCTGAGCCGCTCCCTCCAGGCGTGGATGGCCTCCCGCGCGTCCCGGGCGGAGATGAGGAAGGGCCGGTCGGAGGAGTAGGCGGCGCCGCGGGTCATGTTGAGCACGAAGCTCTCCATGGCGGGCGGGACGGGCAGGCCGGCGAAGCGCAGCAGGCGGCGCAGCTGGGCGCGGGGCTCCAGCACCAGGTCCTCGTAGCGCAGCTGGGTGTAGCGGCGGCGCAGCCAGGCCGGGGCGCGGCGGGAGAAGAGCAGGTCGCGGAGCCAGGCCTGGCAGATCACCTCCAGCGCGCCGCTCAGGAAGAACTCGGCCCGGTGCTGCTGCTGCGCCCGGACCCCGCCGCCGCCGCCCAGCCCGGCCGCGGGCAGGAGCTGCCGGTGGGGGAGTCCCCGGGGCTCGGCGCGGTGCCGGCTCCGCAGCACCTGGATGCTCTCCCGCAGCAGCGCCTGCTTGGCCTTGAGGCGGGAGTTGTGCACGGCGCGGGGGTCGCGGAAGAGCTGGATGACCCGCAGGTTGAGGCCGGGCTCCCGCAGCAGCGGCAGCAGCGCGCCCAGCTCCAGCAGCCGCACGTCCTTGATCACCACCACCGGGTACTTGCGGCACTCGGCCTCCAGCTCCCGCAGCCCCCGCGGCGGGCAGCTCCGCTCGCAGGCGGCGCCGTCGATCAGGCCGATCTCGTGGCGGGGCCGGGGGCCGTCCGGGCAGAACGGGGCCGAGCAGATCACTTTGTTGGTCCGCCAGCCGAAGAGGCCGGCCGTGGTGAGGTTGCCGCCGCCGCCGCCGCCGCCCGGGGCCAGCGGGTCCCGGGGCGCGGGCGGGGCGGCGTAGAGGCGCAGCACGGAGAAGTCGCAGCGGAAGAGTGAGCGGAGCATGTCGCGCAGGGCGCCCTGCAGGCTGAGCGCGTCCGCCGGGTACAGGGCCTGCCACAGGTGCCACATGGGCTCGTACAGGTAGAAGACGTCCGGGTGCTGGTTGAACAGCTCCCCCAGGAAGGAGGAGCCCGTGCGCCAGGTGGCGTGCAGGTAGATGTGCCGCTTCCCGCCGCCGGCCGCCTCGCTCCCGTCAGCCGCCGCCCCCTCGCCCTCCGGCGGCGGCTGCTCCTCCTCCTTCTCCTCCTCCCAGCCCCACTCGCCCAGCACCTCCTGCAGGCTGGGGCAGCGGGGCTGCAGCGGCGCCTCCTCCGCCCCGCGCCCCCGCCTGGCCCCGTAGTCCTGCACGTAGGGCACCAGGAGCAGCAGCAGCAGCGTGTAGAGCACCAGCAGCAGGGCGAGGCGGCGGTGCTGCCAGCGCCACCGCCGCCCCTTCATCGCCCCGCCGCGCTCTGCTGCCGGGCAGCGGCGCCTGCAGCCAGCCGCCGCCCGCCTCTGGCTGAGCCGCCGCCGCAGCAGCAGCAGGGAGAGTCCTGCCTGTTAGAAAGCGCACAAAACTTGGAGGAGGGCAGAGGCAGCGCCTGGGAGGTGTTGGCTCCGTGGGTCCCTCCCCGTCTGGAAAAACACGCCCACATGCCGGAGACTCCGCGGCTAGAACAGCAAAGAGGCTGTTGCCCCCGCCTTCCTTCCCCATAGCCAGCTGCTGAAGCTCCGCACAGACAGACAACTGCCCCTGCTGGCTGAGGAACCGCCTCTTCCTACCCATCAGGCCGCAACCTTCAGGGGCCTCTTTCTGGACCCAGCCAAGGGCTGCTGTCTTGAAGTGGTTTCACTCATATGCAGGGAGGGTTTATAATTTTGTTCAGTGGCTTTCAGCACCACTGTACAAATTGTGCCAGTGCCACTGAACCTGCCCCTTCTTCTGCAGCTCTACCCAGTAGAGAGACTGCATTGGTAGCCTTTTTACTAGTGAGGGGGTGACGATCATTCAATGAACCAAAAGAGAGGAATCACACACACCAGAAATGATTTTGGAAGGTCCAGGGGTTCTGCAGAAAGGTGCTGGGTTGATTTAAAACCTCCACAAAAAGGGAATGCAAAACCTTTTTCTGATACAAAATTGATACAAAAAAGTAGTGATGGGCCTAATCTGGAACCTCAGATCCACACCTACTGCAAACTTGGGGGAAGTTCAGATCCTGAGACAAGCTTTCTAGTTCACACGATCCTCTACCAAGGATGTACAGAAGTAGATCAAGAAGGTGGTGGTGGTGGGGGGGTAATTAAAATAATATTTCTTATCTGAAAATTGAATAATTATTGTTACAAGTAAACAGCTACATGATTATATCCTAATAGATGAGAAACATCTTCTTCGAGCTTGTTGCACTTCTTGTTTTATACACTACACTGGAGGGAACTCACCTCCCTCCCTTAGGCCCTGCAAAGGGATGTTTATCCCAGGAACAGCAATCAGATGAGACTGAAGAGGCAATGGGTAGGCATGTGGTCCTAGGAACAGGAAGGACATATTGATCTCTAGTAATGTTGCTCTTGTGCTACCCACTCAGGAGACCTTCTAAACCTCAGTAGAAGCTCAGGAAACCCACCTGCAAATTGTAAAATAATTTAGTTTTATTTTTAGGAAGTTGCACTGGATGCACAGCAGGTAAGAATATCTGCAAAAGACCGCAAAAATATTTCAGATTTGGTACTGTAGAGAGTTGGGGGATGGGGTTAAATCTTAAGAGAAAACATTTGCTACCATTATTGCAGTTCCAGAATTTTTCACTAAAGGATAGTTTGACATGAACTGTCATGTAAAGACCATGGTCCTGATTGCAGAGGTAAAGATTCTGCACTAGCGGATTCCAGTGTAGGATCTGGGCCCAAGTGAGAAATGAATGTTGTGCTTTGATTCACATCCATCAGCCTTATTGGATTTGGACTGGGGATAGAAAAGAGGGCACTCCACCCCTGCTGGAAAAAAAGACCTCTCAAATGAATGTATATGGGAAAACAATTTGTGTCACTTCTACAAGGGCTAACTTTTGCCCTGGAGATTGACTACTCAGTTGAAACTTTTGTATAAAGGTCTTCACCTTCCTTCCTTCCTGTAATTACTTCTATTATGGTCTCCCTAATATTAACTCTCCATATCTCAGGTTGTCCAAAATCCAGCTATTCATTCCCTGAGTTCATGCAGAATTTTACTGAAGTCAATGTGATTCCACATGAACAGAAGGGTCCACCTCCATGAAACAGTTTTGCAGGATTTGGGGCTTATTTTTGAAGTGTGGGGTTGCTACATTTTATTAAATTAACCATTTTTCAAGAATTTCCATTTATTCACAGAGGCAAGATCAAAAGGTACTTGAAGTGATAAATTCATTTTGTGGCCGCTGTAATAAAGAACATTTATAACCTGAAAACTTGGCTTTACTCTGATGACATTTCAATGCTATGACAGGTAATTTCTCCTACTTCATCAGCAGTTGAAAATGGATGCATAACAAACTAGTTAATAAAAATGGATTATACCATTACATTAATGGAGGTACTAATTAACAAATTAATGAGTAATGTGGGATACAGTGATTACAATTATTCTGTGTTTGTTGACAGTTGCAGCTACCATTTTTAATTGAGGAACCTTATATTTTCTGTCCTTGAGGTCATTCCCTGCCACCATCAAATACCCTAATATTTGTCCCTTCTTGACACCTCCCCATAAAGCATGGTAGATCTTCCAAAGCCGCCTACCACCATCTGGTATAGCCCCCTCTGGCTAATTGACACCTCTCTCTCTCTCTCTCTAATAAAACAAACATTTGTCTAATTGAGTCTGTTTCTTCATGTATCCTGGTCCCTGAAATGTAGCTATTGTTCCCCATTTCTGGACTGTTTTAGCACTTAGCAGATATTACATCAGATTCTACTGTGTGATACACATGTATCACCTCTGCAATCAGCAACATTACACCCATATACGGATAGTGGCATTTGACCCATTATGTAGATATTATAAACAACTTTATGTATAAACTGTAATCTGCTGTGAAGTATTCTGTCTGTTTCTGTAGGAATTACATTAAACAAAATTATTACACTTTGTGTGTGTGTGTATGTATATAGTATAATATGTGATTAACAAAACTATTAAGAAGTGGAGTCAAAACAAACAACACATGCTTTTGTTCTGTCAGTGAGGCAGAAGTTTGGTCCCCAGCAGCCTTCCCCTGACCTGCATCAGGAAAGTGTTAAAGTGATAACATCTTGCACTTTTAGGGAGTGTTGAGTGACAGGATTGCAGCAAACAAGACTTGCAGACCACTAAACAACATGGGGGGGGGGGGCGGCAGCATTCAAGAGGGAGTCTGTTGGCTACATGCATTCACTGTTGTTATTGCTGAGTTTAATAAACCCTGTGGGTAAAATCCTGGCCCAAATGAATTTAATATGAGTTTTTGCCATTGATTTCAGTGGGACCAGGATTTCACCCTAAATTACAATAACCTACAAATAAAAAAAAACAAGTATGAGAAAGAGATAACTATAATAGAGACCTGCTGGAATTATTGAACCATAGAGTGAAGACACCGTCTGTAAGCCCATCTGGCATGCTGAAGTGACATCTGTGGGTTAATTGTCCTCTGTGATATGAATGTGCAAAAGAATCCTATTAAACAGGATTTAGTAAGCTTGACTTCTCTAGAGGTGATTCCGAGAAATATAAACATGACCAGGTAAATACCAGGTTGCAGGGTTTACATTCCACTAACACAAATACCAGTGTTGACAGAACAAGCAGAGCTGTAAGAGCTGACCAGATAGTTTAGACAGATGAGATCTGAACATACTACACATGTAGCTGAAAACATTTAGCATCGGATTAGTTTCTATAACAAGCATCATAGCTGGAGAGCTGAGTATGAAGACTAACCATCAACCTATACAAAACCTCAAAAGGACACTGGATAGCCATCTATGTATACAAAATAAAAGCCAGCCTAAAGAGAATGGAAACATTTTACAAAATAAGGCCTATCAAGCTAAATGGGAAACTATAGAAATAAAAATATGTACACCTTACACAGAAAATTTATCAGATAATAAAAGCTACAAGCTCCTACGGCAATTATTTCAAGAAACAATAAGACACACAAATCACTTTTACATATTACATGTGGAAAAAAGTACCATATGGTAAAGTACTACTACTGAGGGCATTCTGCACCCCCCAAAAAAAAAATTCTGTGCACAATATTTTAAAATTATGCAAATTTTATTGGACAAATAAATGTGGATGCTCCAGCATGGCATTGGGGAGCACAGGCCACTGGCTGCACAGAGGTGGGAGATCACTGTGCAGCTCCCCCCTGGGACATGGACTTAGCAGTGAGGCTGCACCCAACCCTGACACAGCACAAGGACCAGGCCTGCCCCAGAAACACCTCAGGGCCCTGCCCCTTCATGTCAGGTGTGGGCAGGCAGGCTCAGCAAGACAGGATCGAAGTGTGGGGGAATGCAGGTGTGGATGGAGAGGGTTCTGTGTGGGGTAATCTGGGTGAGGGCAGCTCAGTGGGGGATCCGAGTGCAGGGGGGATTTGGATGCACAGGGGCTTATTGGGGGGAAGTTCTAGGTGCAACAGTAATGGGACACTGCAGGGGGGTCCAGGTGAAGGTGGTTGGAGCTCAGTGGGGGTAGGGGTCTGGGTGTGGGGGGCGAGGCTCAGTGGGAGGGTCTGGGTATGAGGGGGTCTGGATGCACAGGGCTTGCATGGATGGGGGAGCAGCTTGCTGTACAGGGATCCCTTCCCCTGCAGCTGAGGAGTGATGGGTGCAGGAAGCTGGGTGGGGGTGGGGGAGTTTGCAGAGCTTCCTACAGCTGGGGGAGAAATCTGGGGGTGGGTATGACTCAGCCCCGGATGCTGTGCAGGGGCAGAGGAAGTCCCATACTCCCCCGCCCAGCCGGGACTAGCAGCTGAGCTTGGTGTAGGGTAGGAGCCACCAGCCGGGTCTTCCCCAGTCCCGCCCCTTGCCCACCAGTGATTTACCTCTCTGGTGGCTGCCCTGAGCACCCGAAACATACTGCTGGGGAGGGTCAAATGACCGCTCTTTTGGCTTCCCTTTGCTTCCCTGTCGGAAAGTCATTTTTCTGCGAGGAAGCAAAGAAATTTGCAGGGGACATAAATTCTGCACATGTGCAGTGGCGCAGAATTCCCCCAAGAAATTTTCAGAATAATCTACTCCAACAGACCAGTTTGGTACAGCCTCTCCATGTGAACGGTTCTACCAATGCAAGGCTAGCCTGCACTGTCCTTTTGATTTTTACTTTGCTGTTTCCCCGGAAAGCACAAGTCTTGGAATAGGTGTCACTTAGTCTTATGGATTATCAGGTAGTTTGGGTGTGATGGAAATATTTTAGTTCCAGCTTTCACAGAGGATCA